AGAAAGAAAGAAAGAAAGAAAGAAAGAAATTAAAATCTTTACAGTCCTACCACCAAATAATAAAACTGTAATCATTCTTGAGCTTTAGTCAGTATCTTATATATTTTTTCATTTTCCTATATTAAATGGATTATATTATTAGTAATTCCCAACCTGCTTCTTCATTAATATTATCTGTAACACTTAAATTTGTATAAGGATTTATCAGTTTTGTCATAGTCCTTGGATTTAACCAAATTAGACTCTTGAGAAGTAGCTCAGGGAGCATTTTATCTATCTATCTATCTATCTATCTATCTATCTATCTATCTATCTATCTATCTATCTATTTTTGTTTTTTTTTGAGACAGTGTTCTCTGTGTAGCTTGCATTTTATTTTTTTTTTAAATCTTAGAAATATTAATAGCCTTGAAAATTTTTTATAAGATTAGTAAGAAAGAAACTCGGGTTATTAACAAATACTCAACTCATCTAAAGCCCTTTATCTAATTATTCAATTTTAACTTTTTCCTAGCCCTTCCACCCTATGGTGAATCTGGACTGCTCTCGGGATTTTCGGCCATTTCTTTGTGCACTCTATGCCCCTATTTGTATGGAGTATGGACGTGTCACACTGCCCTGTCGTCGGCTGTGCCAGCGTGCCTATAGCGAGTGCTCAAAGCTCATGGAGATGTTTGGGGTTCCTTGGCCTGAAGATATGGAATGCAGTAGGTATGGGTCCTTTTTATGCTGATAGGTGTCTTCTCTTTGATCTATTTTAAAGAACAGGGTTGTTGTTGTTTTTCCTAATGTATGGATGTGTATACAAATGTTGAGCACTGTTTCGTGGTCTTATTTTTTTGTAGGAATTGAGAAGAAGTAAATGAAAATGATAGGAAAAGACATGAAGAAATTTAAAAGAATTAAGAATTACATAAACAAGACATTTGGTTGATTTACTTTTCTACCTTTAAAACACATTTCTGTTTTTATAAGTAATGCTATTCATGAAAAATTAGAAGCTGAGCGGTGATGGCACACACTTTTAATCCCATCACTAGGAGACAGAGGCAGGTGGATCTCCAAGGCCAGCCTAGTCTATAGAATGAGTTCCAGGACAGCCAGGATTACAAAGATAAAACCTGCCTCAAAAACAAAAACAAAAAACAAAAAACAAAAAAAAAAACAAAAACAAAAAACAACAAAAAAAAAGAGAGAGAGAGAGAAAGAAAGAAAATATAGATAAGAAAATATTTATGCCGGGCAGTAGTGGCACATGCCTTTAGTCCCAGCACTTGGGAGGCAGAAGCAGGTGTATCTCTGAGTTCGAGGCCAGCCTGGTCTACAGAGAGAGTCCAGGACAGGCTCCAAAACTACATAGAGAAATCTTGTCTCAAAAAAAAAAAGAAAAGAAAAAAGGGTTGGGGATTTGGCTCAGTGGTAGAGCGCTTGCCCAGCAAACACAAGGCCCTGGGTTTGGTCCTCAGCTCCAGGGAGTGGGGGGGTGTGGGGGGGAAAGAAAAGAAAATACTTATTTATGACTCTCATTATAGCCGCCTAAATGCCTTTGATATAGATGTGTGGATATCTAAGGCTGTTCTGTCAATTTTGTTTTTTTGATTTTTTTTTCCTATCACATATTCCCTATCACCTAACACCCAGTTGAGAAAATGTTGGTTGCTTTTCAAGTCTCATCTAACACACAGATTGTGAGCTGTTACAGAAGATTGAAAGATTTGTTGAGCAGACATTCCTGTAGTTTTGTAGGAGTGAGCACCATAGTAATATAGTATGTTATATATAATATGCCTTTTTATTTTCTGAACTATTCCAGAGATAGGGAATAAGGGAATACTTATGTACTCATAATCTGCCTTTTTCCTGTCTCAACATTTTGTAATGTTTGTCTTCAGATCTTCTTTTAAGAAATAAAACACTGTAGATACAAGCTGAACTTGGTAGCATATGCTTGTAATCCCAGCATTTGGGAAGCTGAGGCAGGAGGATTGTGAGTTTGAGGCCAGCCTGGGCTACATATTAAGACCCTGTCTGGAGTGAGGTAGGGTGGGGTTGGGGGCTCTCTATAGTACAGCTGCAAGTTTTGTTGTTCCTGGTCTTGCTCAAATTCCCTTCTTTCTCCCCAAGGTGAGGTAAATCTCATGGTAAATATTATTAATTATGTCATGCTTGGTTATATATATATATATATTCCATAAACAAAATGTTTTCCCTTATCTGTGTGTGTGTCTTGCTTGGTTCATTTTTTAAAAATTACCGATTAAAATTTAATGTCTGATAGTTAATTGTGTTAATATCCTATAATTATTTAGCTGTCTCATATTGTTAATCATTTAGGTTGCTCCATGATTTTCATTAGAAACTATTTATTTCTCCTTTAAAGTACTTATGGCTGCGATGTAGCAGTTGGTAGAGGAATATACCATGTCCTCACATGACAGAAGGGCTAAAAAGCAAAAGGTCAATCTCTCTCTGAAGCCCAATTCATGATGGTTTTGCCTTTGTAAGTAACACTACCACAGTGAGGACTGAGTTTCAGCACATGAGATTTGGGGGCATTCAGACCATAGCACTCATTCCCCAACTTCATGGACATCCTTGGTTTCTTCCCCAGCCTGTTTATTATTATTTTTTCATCATTTAGTATACACATTGTTATCTATCACTTGAAATAATACTTTTGTTGATAATTTCATTTTATTCTTTCTTTTGTACTTGTTCAAGTCTCCAAATGGATTGCTCTAACCCATTTCTTATAAATTAATTGTCAAACCATAGCTATTCTTTTTGTTATTTGTTGCTACTTGACCTGGTAAAGAAATTTTCTCTTGTTCCCCTCTGCACCTTTGCTGATAGAATTTTAGATCCAAAAGAACAGGGACTTTGTTCTATTCACTACTTGTCTTCAGCATCTAGAAGAGTCTGGCACACTGAAGACACTCAATATTTGTTGACCTTATGCCTGTTAAATATATTCATGTAATTCAGCCTAAGTAATCTAAGGTAGCAGAAAGTAATTCAAGCTGAGCAAAAATGCATGCAGAGAGATCAGTTGGAACATGATTAATACACTTTAAAAATCAAAGCAGAGCCAGATGAGGTAGTGAGACTGGGACAGCCCTGAAGGTAGTCAGAGGACAGCCCAGAGTCCCTAATAATTGGATGTAGAGATTGAGTTTATAGAAGCTGAACAAAGATAACTTGCAGAGAACTAAGAAAACAAAAGAAACTGTAGACATGTTGAAATTGAGACAGATTTCAGGGTTAAGATTCTGGCATCTATTTAAACTTACATCTCACCTTTATTTTCTTCCCCTCAGCATGGCCTCCTTTCCGTGCGTCTTTAGAACATCGTATCTGAGCTACAGTGCTCTGCTGTATCAGACCAGTCAGTCTTGTTTCCTTCTCAGATCCTCCTCTTGGGTGTCCCTTGTGTTACAGTTCTTCAGAGTTCAGTTCTTGCTTTCTTTGATACTTTCTCTGGAGCCTCACAAAGCAAATCTCAGCAAAATAGGCAAATTGAAATAATGGCTTGTGTTCTATCTGATTACAGTGAATAAAGCTGGAAGTCAGCACCTTAGAGAGACTACGAAATACAGACTCAGGCAGATTAAACAACAACACATTCTAGAATGATGAATGGGTCGTTGAAGAAATCAAGAAGGAATTTATTTATTTATTTATTTATTCAATTTTTGAGCTGAGGACCGAACCCAGGGCCTTGCACTTGCTAGGCAAGCACTCTACCAGTGAGTTAAATCCCCAACCCTATTGATTGATTGATTGATTGATTGAGACATGGTTCCTCTGTATAGCCCTGGCTGTCCTGGAACTTGCTTTGTAGCCCAGGCTGGTCTTGAACTCACAGAGATCCACCTGCCTCCGCCTTCTGAGTGCTGGAATTAAAGATGTGCATCACTGCCCAGCAAAAAGGAAACTTTTTTTATGTCTGGAGTCAAATGAAAATGAAAAGACAGCATACCAAAATCTATGGGATACAATGAAAGCAGTCCTAAGAGGGACATTTATAGCTTTCTGAAATATGATTTGTGGTGATTGGTAAATAGAATTTTCTTTTAAAAATGTTCTTAATTTTATGCGCATCTGTGTTCTGAAATAACTAAATTATAAAATACAGTGGGCTGGAAAGAAGTTGTCAGGATGGTGGGAAAAGCTAGGTGACGCTAAAGACCTCAGATGCCCTTTAGTTACCCAGTAACATAAGCAGAGCCTGGGCTAGGGGCGTCCAGAGTGTTTGCTCAGCAGCCATAAAAGCTCTAGGTTCTAAACCCAGCATTGCCTCCCCCCCCCCCGCCCCCGAAGATAGAGAGTGCACATGAGACTTAAATGTTATTTGTGAGGTTATTACTAACCAGGCTCATGGCGCCTTGGACCATGCATTTAAGGAAGATTTTTAAATCTTAAATTTGAACTTTTATCTACTGTTTTTCTGACACAGCGCGCGCACGCGCGCACATATATACACATACATTTCACATTTGGAAGCCATAAAGACTGTACTAAATAAATAGTCCACATATATGTTGTTTATTATTGATGGCTGGTTTCACTGTTTTGATGGAGTGCTGATTTTGAAGATAAAACTAATTTAATTTTAAGACTCTCATTTAAAATCTGCTTGAAGCCTCCCCATAATATGCCATTTTCTTTTGGGTTTTTTTTTGAAGATTTTTTTTAAAAATGTAATTTATTTTTATTTTATGTTCATTGGTGTTTTGCTTACATGTATGTCTGTGTAATGATGTCAGAAACCCTGGAACTGGAGTTACAGTTGTGAGTTGCCATGTGGGTCCTGGATATTGAACATGTGTGCTCTGGAAGTGCAGGCAATGCTCTTAACTGCTGAGCCATCTCTCCAGCCCCCCATTTTTTAAATTTTTATTTATCCCTAGTAATAGAAATAGATGAGGTCACAGGTGCTCAGTTTAGAATTTGAAATCGCTAAGTACCAGCAGACTTACCTGGAAGTAAATATGGTTATCATCTTTTATTTTTTAGGTTTCCAGATTGTGATGAGCCATATCCCCGACTTGTTGATTTGAATTTGGTTGGAGAGCCAACTGAAGGTGCCCCAGTTGCCGTGCAGAGGGACTATGGCTTCTGGTGTCCCCGAGAGTTGAAAATCGATCCTGACCTTGGCTATTCCTTTTTGCACGTGCGAGATTGTTCACCACCATGTCCCAATATGTACTTTAGGAGAGAAGAACTGTCATTTGCTCGCTATTTCATAGGACTGATTTCAATCATTTGCCTCTCTGCCACGTTGTTTACTTTTTTAACCTTTTTGATTGACGTCACAAGATTCCGTTACCCTGAAAGGCCTATCATATTTTATGCAGTCTGCTACATGATGGTGTCATTGATTTTCTTCATTGGCTTTTTGCTTGAGGACCGAGTAGCCTGCAATGCATCCAGCCCTGCACAGTATAAGGCTTCCACAGTGACACAAGGATCTCACAATAAAGCCTGTACCATGCTTTTTATGGTACTCTATTTTTTCACTATGGCTGGCAGTGTATGGTGGGTAATTCTTACCATCACATGGTTTTTAGCAGCTGTGCCAAAGTGGGGTAGTGAAGCTATTGAGAAGAAAGCATTGCTGTTTCATGCCAGTGCCTGGGGCATCCCTGGAACTCTAACTATCATCCTTTTAGCGATGAATAAAATTGAAGGTGACAACATTAGTGGCGTGTGTTTTGTCGGCCTCTACGATGTTGATGCGTTAAGATATTTCGTTCTCGCTCCCCTCTGCCTATATGTGGTAGTTGGGGTTTCTCTCCTCTTAGCCGGCATCATATCCCTAAACAGAGTTCGGATTGAGATCCCATTAGAAAAGGAAAACCAAGATAAGTTAGTGAAATTCATGATCCGGATTGGTGTTTTCAGCATTCTTTACCTTGTACCACTCTTGGTTGTAATTGGATGTTACTTTTATGAGCAAGCGTACCGTGGCATCTGGGAAACAACATGGATACAGGAACGCTGCAGAGAATATCATATTCCATGTCCATACCAGGTAAGGGAACCCTTGTTATAATTCTCAGAATGTATTATAGTTAAAGAAGTAATCTTATCTGTTGTTTTCTTTCCAATTCTTCATGAACTTTAAGCATGTACATTAAAGCTTTAAAGTGAAGATAATTGATAAGTATATTGCAGTAAATACACAATATACATATTTGTGTAGACATTCATTTTAAAAGATGATTTACATTTCCATACTATGAGCTTAGAGCAACTTATTTCCATTACTAAAAATATTTATTGATTCTTCCAGCTCTGAGAGAAGGGTCCTGTCTTAGTAATTGTTTAAAGAGTTGTACAGAAATGGCAGAATTCAATTGCATAAGCTCTCTCGGCATTATTTTTTCTCGTTTGTATATAGAATAGTTTGTGATGTGCCTTTGAGTTTGAAGAGTCATAGAATCAGACTTTTAGATTTAGAAAGAAGCTTGGAGATTACTTATTTTAATTTTGTCCATAAGTTAAATTTTCATACATCTGTTTTGTTTGAATATTTGAAATACTGAGTGACTTGCCCATGTTTAGTGTGTGGCCAGCTGGTATTTAGTCTTAGGAGAGTAACTGGGAACAGCTCAGAGGACCCCATCCTCTAGATGTACCTAATCTTCCTTTTAAAATTAGCTTTCTAGGGCTGGAGAGATGGCTCAGAGGTTAAGAGCACCGACTGCTCCTCCAGAGGTCCTGAGTTCAATTCCCAGCACCCACACGGTGGCTCACAACCATCTGTAATGAGATCTGGCACCTCTTCTGTATACATAATAAATAAATCTTAAAAAAAAAAAAGAAAAAGAAAAAAAAGTAGCTTTCTAATCTTTAAGGTTTATTTATTTTATGTGTATTTGCCAGCATATATGAACATATACCACATGCATGCCTAGTGCCAAAGGAGTTCAGAAAAGGGTGTTGGATCCTCTGGAACTGGGGTTATAGATGGTTGTGAGCCATCATGTAGGTGCTGGGAACCAAACCTGGATTCTCTCCAAGAGCAGTAAGTGTTCTTAACTGCTGAGCAGTCTCTCAGCCCCTCAGAAGGTGTTTTCTTAGAGTGTTCTGACATCCAGTCTTCTAAGTGCACCAGTCACCTTACTGCTCCCTGACATGTCTCAGACCTCTAACACCATTGAAGCACTTCCATCTCAGACTAAAGGGCTTGTGTTGATGTGTCTTTTCTTCCTACTAGACAGTGCTCTTTGAGAGCAAGAACTTTTTCTTTTATTGAACATAGATTCTATCTTCACATAATACATCCTGATTATAGTTTCTCCTCCCTCTACTCTTCCCAGTTCCTCCCCATCTCCTCTTCCCTCTGGATCTACTCTTTCTATCTCTCATTAGAAAAGAACAGACTTTTTTTTTTGTTTTGTTTTGTTTTGTTTTTTCAAGACAGGGTTTCTCTGTGTAGCTTTGCGCCTTTCCTGGGACTCACTTGGTAGTCCAGGCTGCCTCGAACTCACAGAGATCCGCCTGGCTCTGCCTCCCGAGTGCTGGGATTAAAGGCGTGCGCCACCACCGCCCGGCAAGAACAGACTTTTAAGAGATAAAAATCAAACATGACAAAATAAAATACAGTAAGATAGAGCAAAAACTATCAAATTGACATGGAAATCTAACAGGAGGAAGAGTCCCAAGAGCAGGTACAAGAGTCAGATACCTACTTGTTCTTACATTGAGAAGTCCCATAAAATACTAATAGCTAATAGCTATAATAGATATGTAGAGGATCTGATGCAGACCCATGCAAGCCCTGTGCTTGCTGCTTCAGTCTCCGTGTGCTCATAACACTTTGCTTAGTTGCTCCAGAGGACCTTGTTTTCCTGGTGTCCTCCATCCCTTCTAGCTCTTGAGATCTTTCCACCTCCTTTTCTGTGTGATTCCCCCTGTGTGATTGGGGGGCAGGGGATTTAATGGAGACCTCCAGTTTAGACTTTCTTTCTACATAATGTCTAGCTATGGGTCTCCGCATCTTTTCCCATCTTCTGCTAGTGGGTACCTCGCTGATGATGACTGGATAAAGCACTCATCTATGTGTATAGCATAATATCATTAGGAATTATTTTATTAATTTTTTTAGACTGATAGTGTTTGGTTTTACGCTAGGTCTCTTGGCTATCTAGCCTCTGACTCTTGGTTACCCAAGCAGTGTTGGGTATGTGTTCCTCCTTATGGAATGGGCCTTAAGTCAAATCAGACATCAGTTGGCTACTCCCACAAGTTCTGTCCTAGCATATTTTGCAGTCAATATAGACTGTAGGTCAAAGGTTTTGTGGCTGGGTCAGTGTCCATATTTGTCTTTCAGTACTACAGAGTACCTTCCCACACTAAAGAGACATAGGGGTAAAGGCTCCATGTAGGCATAGCTCAACTACTCCAGGTTCAATGAGTTGTGTGGGTGTTGTCCTCAGGCAATGGGGCCCCATTGTCAATTTGTGGAGTGCAACCCTTTGTCTTAGCAACAGCCTGGGTTGTTTGGGGATTTTCATGGGATCCCCTTGACCAACAAAGCATCCTTTAGATCAAGGACTATGTACCATTGCCGATTAGCAGGTAGGGAGCTGAGCAAAGTATAAGGGTTTGTGACTGTTGGGTGGACGTCAGTCACCCTTTTATTGACCTCCCTCAGGTCTTAGAGCGGTCTATAGTCATTAGTGTGATGCATTTTAACAGGCAGCAAGGATGTGTTCCAGGCCTATTGCACAGACCGGAGAATTCCCACATGCAGCAGTTGCCTTATGTGTGGAGTGATGCCCTTTTTGGCCTCTAAGGGCATAGGGTACTGGTGGACTTTTACTGGGTCTGCCCTGACTTGATTTCCACATAGACTGGGGGGCAATGTGCTGCCAGTGCCATTCCCCCAGTCTCAGCCCAGACTGATGGAAACTCCTGGAGCCACTCCTCCAGTCGAAGGTCAGGTACAGGAGCCACTTGGTGTAATCCTCAGTCATGTCACTAATTACCAACACATGAACAGGTTTTCCAATCTCATTGAGCAGTTTAGCTCCTTTCTCAGAAAAATGTATCTAAGCTTTCATTTTTGTCAGTAAGTCTCACCCTAACAGGGGGTATGGACATTCTGGAATACCTGGCCTGCTCCTAAGTCCACTGTTCTTCAAGTAGTCCATGAATAGGGTCTAGTCCCTGTGGCCCCTTGGACCCAAGTTTGTTTGTTTGTCATGGGCCCATCAGTCTTTAATAACACTGAATTCTGAGCTCCTGTGTCCACCATGAAATCAGTCTTTTCCCCCTCCACTTTTAGGGTTACCCTAGGTTCAGGGTGGGGGGTGGACCCTGTCTCCCCTAATCACTGTCCATGTCTCTCTGACAAAAGACTTTGGCATCTCTTTTAGTCACTTTTTGGGGGCATTCTCTTGCCCACTGCCCTTCCTTTTTACAATAAGCACACTGATTTCTCTCCAGCCAGGGTCTTCCTTTACCTTTTGGCCTTTTTTCTTCTCCGGCCACTGGCTGCCGCAGTTTTCTCTGGTGTTCGTCCGGACTGGCAGTAGCAGCTAGTAATAATTTAGCCAGATAGTGGTTTTGTCGCTTTTCTTTTTTTTAAATTTCTTTCTGCTCAACACTTTCCCTTCTATTGTACACTTTCTCAGCCACTATAACTAAGTTTCTAATGCTTTTTTCTCCTAGGCGTTCTAACTTTTGTATTTTCCTTTTAATATCTGGGGCTGCCTGATTAATGAAAGCCAAAATCAAGGTGGCTGCATTTTCTTGTGACTCTGAATCATATGAGGTGTATCTCCTGAAAGCTTCCTGCAGTCTCTCCAGGAATGCAGCTAGACTTTCATCCTGGCCCTGTGTAACATCATAGACCTTACTCAAATTTGCAGGCCGAATGCAACCCTATCCTGCCACTAGAAACCTTGTCTGCCTACAAGAGATGGCCAGTTGAGACTCCCCCCATTATTAAGAGTCCTCATTAGAATCACCATCATAGATGCCAGAAAATTTTCACTGCACTAGGTTTTTACAACACTCCCCAAATGCCCCCCAATTCCAGCTGTCTCTCCTTACACTCTCTCTATCCCATTTCCCCCACCACCTGACCCTCCCCTCCCATTCTCTGCTCCCAGTCTGCTCATAAAATCTATTTTCCTCTCCCAGAGACATCCATGTGTCCCCCCCACTCCTCTTTACCTAACCTCTATGGGTCTATGGATTGTAGCTTGGTTGCCATTTACCTAATAGCTAATAACCACTTGTAAGTGAATACATACCATATTTGTCTTTCTGGGTCTGGGTTACCTCACTTAGAATGGTTCTTTTCTAGTTCTCTCCATTTGCCTGCAAATTTCATGATGTCAATTTTTTAACAGCTAAGTAATACTCCATGGTGTAAATGTACTACATTTTCTTTTTCCATTCTTTTGTTGAGGGACATCTAGGTTGTTTCTAGTTTTGGGCTATTATGAATAAAGCTGCAGTGAACATGGTTGAGCAAGTGTCCTTGTGGTAGGATGGACTGTCCTTTGGAAATATGCCCAAGAGTGGTATAGCTGGGTCTTGATGTAGATTGATTCCCAGTTTTCCCGAGGAACCACCATATTGGTTTGCATAGTGGCTGTACAAGTTTGCACTCCCACTAGCAGTGGAGAAATGTTCCCCTTGCTCCATGTCCTCAGCAGCATGAGCTATCACTGTGTTGCTGATCTTAGTCATTCTGACAGGTGTAAGATGGAATCTCAAGTAGTTTTGATTTGCATTTCTCTGATGGCTAAGAATGTTGAACATTTCTTTAAGTGTTTTTCAGCTATTTGGGATTCCTCTGTTGAGAATTCTCCGTTCAGATTTGCACCATTTTTAAAATTGAGTTATTTGGTTTTTTGATGCCTAGTTTCTTGAGTTCTTTATGTATTTTGCATATTAGCTGTCTAATGGATGTGGAGCTGGTAAAAAAAAAAAATTCTCATGCTGTAAGCTGCTGCTTTGTCCCATTGACAGTGTCCTTTGTCTTACAAAGCTTTATAGTTTCATGAGGTCCCA